CATGTAACCCATCTTTCTTCCAGCAAGAAATCAAGCATACCATACATAATCGATAATATAATCACCCCATTATTGATTGCATTCTCTATTCTAAAAAAAAAAAAATCAAATCCTAAAGGAATGCACTATTAAAAGCGATAATAAGAAGAAAAAATGTTTGTATGACATTTTGTGTCTATATAGTCACATCATTTGATAAATTAAGCATATCATCTGTGCAAAGTTGTTATTGCAGTTTTTTCATGAGATTGGCCGCGAATTCATATTTACACCACTTCTATTCACTAGAATTGCAACAAGCAATGTTTTGGAATTGATAAAAACATGCATTTTCTCACTTCTCTTAAAAAAAAAATTGTAAAAAAATTTAATATCGGCTTGAGAAATGATGCTCCTGATGCTGCTATTGCAATGGACCAGAATGTGAGCTTTCTTAGACGATGATTCGACACTATTATGAAGCCATTTATATAGTTGCTCCTTTTTTTAGTGGCCCCTTTGTGAGATTGACCTCAAGAACTACTTTTTTTTTTTGGTTATTGTGATTGCTTTTTAGATCAAATTTCTTTTTGAAATCCCAAAGCTATTTATATTTCCAACTTTATTCTGTGCATTATACCATGTCAATAATGTTAGTAAATTCCTCAATGACACTTCTATGGGAGGAGTTAGTCCACTAGAGAAAATGTTAACCAAATGCTTTGGTTTTGGTTGTTCACCAATTAGGTTTACCCGGTTGAAAGCAAGAATGATGTTTTCATTGTTCAGTCACGACCACAATCTCTATAGAATATTTTCACAAAATGAAAAATAAAAAAATCTCAAGAAATATAATCTGCATTTGCTTCATTACAATCTTTCTTAGTGAAATTATTAGATTTCCATTTTATTAACATACCAAACACCGATGTTTCACTTAATTACAAGAACTTTTTTGGAGTGAAATTAGCATTGTTGAGTCAAGTCTATGTTTGAGAGAAATGAATTATGCTTTAGAAATTATCATGAATTGTTGGCCCTGACAATTGTTGGTCCCGATCGAGTACGATTATGTGCCAAAGTCTAAATTTTCTTTATTAACTAAAAACAGAAGTTTTATCAACTTAATATAAATATTTAAACTTCAAGTATAACGCATAATATTTTTTATATACTCATATATATCATTGGAAAGAAGTAATATATATATAAGATTTTTTATATGATTGTGTCACTTTGTTTTATACATAAATTTTCGAATCTAATACGCAGATTTTTTATAATCTTAGTACTTAAAAAACTTCTAGATTTCTTTTCTTCTAGTTAATTGCAATTAAATCAACAAATTTTACTAACAAACTTTAATAAATAGTTTAATATTTATTGTTAAGTATACATACATTATATAAGGCTCATATTGGCAAGACATCTAAATAAATAATTTCATATGATTATTTGCTATTCATATATATTGCTCACACAATGTTATATGTATGATATGGCTAATTAAATCTCAAGAGATCGGTAATGATTGATCTAGATATAAACCCTAAATATAATGAATTAAAGGATCTCGGTCAATCTTGTGAAAATGTAAATTCAGAGATTTATTACGATAAATAGAAAAGTAAAAAAAGTCACTAGATCTCCTTCAAATCTTAAAACACAATCCATATGATATAATACTTTATAATTAGGTTCTATGATTGGTGATTCTTTTACAATGTTTCCTCTTTAAATAGAGACTGCAAATTACTCAGTGTCATCAAACAATTTTTTTCTAGAATTTTAATATTTTCACTAAAGAAAAAAAAAATGATGAGAGAAATTGTTGACGAAGTTCCAAATTTGGCAGAGTCAAAACTAACTGCTTTGGTGGTGGATGACAATTTTGTAATTCAAAATATACATCACAAGCTTTTGGATCGCCTAGGTATTAAAAACGACGTTGTTTCTAACGGCAAAGAAGCCGTCGATGTTCATTGCTCTGGCAAAAACTATGATCTTATTCTCATGGACATGGACATGCCTATCATGAACGGTATTGAGGTAATAATTTTGTTTGTTTTACTCATTTAATTCTTCGTTGTTCTTTACGACAGTTTTAAAACCTGAATTAGACAAGAAACATTGGTTATTTTCGCTAGAAACAATGCAGACTGGTTTAAATTTTGGTTAGAATAATTATCTAAAGAACAATTTTTGTTTTGTCAAAACATCTAGAAAGAAACATACAACATTCATATAATGTATGTTATGGGTCTAGTTTCGA